GCTGCTCCCCAGCAGAGGGTGGGGACTGGGGAGCGCTCCTCACACAACAGAAAGCACTGGAAATCTTTACTACTTTAGTCTCCTCACCTTTCCTATATATGTGCAATTCTAACATGGGACTCCACAGAAGCCACAAATATGAATTAGATATATTCCTAAACCCTACAATAATTCATAAAAAATAAGAAAGGGCTAAATAAAATACCCAAACAGCTTTTCCTCAATAACGAAACCAGAATAATCACTAGGCAATAAGTATAATACAGATTTCCTTTGTTACAAGAGTCAATCTAGCTTCACTGTAATTAATGAAATTTTTTTATTAAATACCTTTTAAAAAACCAAATTAGTCATTTTTGGCAGAACAGGAAAAAATGAAGCAATAATACAACTGCAAATTATTTTGGAACATACCTCTGATTTAAGCCTTTCAATTTCTGTGTCTTGATCTTCTAGCTGATGTCTTAGCTGATTGGCTGAAATCTTTTCAGTCTCTACAATCTGAACTAGATGGATATATTTTTGCATCAATACCTCCCTCTCAATCAGAATATCCGAGTAGCTACAAAGAGAAAAAGAGAATATTTCAATTAGCAAATACATCAGTACTAACCTATGCAAACTGAGACTGTATTTAATCTGAAGAAGAAGATTAAAACCACATTACGATTATCATAAACATTTATTTATTATGCATTATCAAGGACAACATGAGCTAGCGTAACTAAATAATTCAGTAATTGACAGTGTATATGCTGTCAGATTTCTCATTTTTTAAAAAAAAGTATACTTTTCAACGTTTTCATTCCACATCGCCACCATTTCAGGTGGCTTTTGACTTCTGCAGTTCTTTGCACACAAAGTCCAGTTACAGTGACTAAGGAAGATTTATAATATTAGAGACTACAATTATAAACAACCACAAACTGCTCCAGTATCTGGTTCTGCCTGGTATCACTGCCGCCCTTCCCAACTAGTGGTTGTCTTCCCCTCATCCCTTCTGAATCTGCCTTCCAGTCAGCCACCCAGGGTGCCTCTCCTGCTCTCCTCTCCCACACATAAGAAGCTCAATAAAAGCCTTGATTTCCTGTATCCTTTGGTGGGATATGGTTTTACAGCTGGCTAAGAAAAATCACATTTGGCTACCAAGCCCAACAACAATTTGTCGACCACTATCTTCATGAAATGGAGCTGCGGTGGCTCAAGTGGTTAAGACGCTGAGCTGCAGGCTGTGGAAGGTTGGTAGTTCAGCAGTTCGAGACCCAAGTTGCCGCATGACGAAGTGAGCTCCGGTCTCTAGTTCCAGCTCCTGCCAACTTAGCAGTTCGAAAGCAAGAAATTCCAAGTAGACAAATAGGTACCACTTCGGTGGGAAGGTAACAGCGTTCCGTGCGCCTTGGTGTTTAGTCATGCCGGACACATGACCACGGAAATGTCTTCGGACAGCGCTGGCTCTTCGGCTTTGAAATGGAGATGAGCACCACAACCCTAGAGTCGGATTTGACTGGCTTTCGAGCAAGGGAACCTTTACCTTTTTTATCTTCATGAATGTGTACGATGGATCCATCTTGTAGAGAACAGTGGAATGTTTTTTCTCATGTAGGGCTCTAGACTAGTCAGGGTATTAAGAATGTTGATTGATCCTGAGCGCTCTGCCATTCCTTCAACAAAATGTATTTTAATTATTACTGTCCTTTGGACCTATGAGTGATTTAGTGGAACTAGTACAGAAATTTTTTACTTGGCTCAGGCTGCAAGGCAAAGTTTACATGGACATTGTAGGACTAAATAATGTCACCTTGCATAAAAGTATTCTATTTCTATGCAGCTTGTTTTACAATTTGCATATTTTCTCACTTTTGTCAGTTTAGCCTGCCTGAGAGGAACGGTTCTGGTAAGGAAAAATCAATATCAAGTAAGTAATTAAACTTCCCACAATTATAAATTATTTTTTTATTTCTATATCAAAATTTTTAAAATGTTTTAAATAAATTATTTTCAATCTTTAAAATACAAACCTATTTCTATTCATTTAATTTAAACGCCCTAAATATAGTATTCATTACAACATAACTGAATCTATCTTCCAACTGGGGGGGGGGAGAAGAGACTCGGAATAGCTATTAAATTTTGTTGCTCTTTTTTCAGCACCATCTTAGATTAAATCTGATTTAAGAGAGCTCTCAGTCATTTTCTTCTGTTTAAAGATCATGGTGAAGATGGCTTGGTATTTCTTATACAATGCTGGCTTTTATGATTATCAATGTATTTTAAATATTAAAAAATCAATAGTAAATGTCCATTAAAGTATTAACACTATCTCCTGCTTCAGTTTATATTGCGTCTGAGAGAGGAGTAAAACTACTTTACAGTTACCATGTCAGTAGTGGCTCACACATGATCTCATTCTTCTAGTGTTACCAGAAAGTCAGTGGAAGATGCCAGTTACTATACCAGTATGTTAATGAAAAAGACAGACTTGAACAGTGACCTTGAACTTGCTGCATGTTAATGTAGCCAAAGAAATAAGCATCACCATAAAGAACTATTACTGCTAAGCAAGAGTTACATCAGTCAGTTGTCACACAATATATGACACAAGGTGACCATATGCTTCTTACAGCCTTCTTGAAGGGCTGCCTGCTGTGGGTGGATACTATGTGAAACAGAATGTTGGACTAGATGGGCCACTGGACTGTGCTAGCAGGGATTCTCCTGTGTTCACACACTTGGATGCTCTACTAAAAGCAGAAAGCCTCCTTCTGAACTAGCACATTACCGTGCTTTAGCCACCAATTAACTCAACATTACTGTGCTTCAGCCACCAATTAACTCAACAGTATTGCCATTATTTCTTTATTAAATGATCAGGTTTCTCCTGTGGCCTGTTCATCCTTCTGGGGTTGTAAACCCTTAGGATAAGAATCACACTATATATGTTGGGTATAGAACCTAGTATACTGTTGAAGTCAAATAAGTGTTTGTGTAGCGAATCCAAGGGTAAAACCCACCTGGGAGAATATGGGAGCAATGCTAAGTAGCTCTATTCAGAAGTAAGTCCCATTTTATTCAATCTGGTTTTAGGACTGCTGCCTATGTTAGGAGAGAGCTAGTGGATGGGACAACCTCGCAGTTCAAACCCAAAATAGCTGACCACCATGCTGACAACAGTAGTAAATCAGATTTCATTGGGAATGGGGGGGAGAGACTGCTGGAGAGAAGATGTGTCAGACTTTGGTGTGCTTATAATACTAAAGAGCGATAGGGAAA